TAGTGCCTAGTGCCCCCTGCACCCCCAGCCCAAGGCCCCCCCAGTGCTCCCCACACCCCTAACCGAGACTGCAGCGCAGATGCTGCGGGAGGACCCGGTGCGCGCCCATCCCTGTGCACCACCGCGGCCCCAAGTCCGCCTGCAGTGCGAATCAGGATGTTGGGGGGGTCGCATGCCCGACCCAAGGCAGGACCCCAGGGCCGGACCCCTCTTCATGCGCCGTGACAGTGAAACGTGGTCCGAGAGCTTCGACCATCCCTTTCCCCGGGCTGCAGTGCCTGCGGGGAGCAGCCCAGTGAGCTGCCCCTGGCCATGGCCCGTGATGCACAAAAATGGGTTCGAAGCCCAAAATCGCTGTGCACCTCGAGGGGCACACGGGCCATAATCCCAGTTCCTGTACCCCAGCTCTCCCAGCTGCCTGCCACAGTTTAGTTTCCCTGGGAAGTGCTTTTTTGGGAGATTTCATGCAGCTTCAGCCTGGCGTGAGGCTACGAATCCTTCAGGATGTTCCTCTGACTTACGCAGGCCTTGGCAGCCCGGTGGCTTTGCTGTGCAAACTGAAACCGGTACAACCAAAACCCACATGCTCCCGCTGGCAGTGTGACACAGGTGCCTCTGCTTTACAGTGACTCCCTGGGACCGGAGCAGCCGGTGCTGGCCCTTCCCTGCAGCCCAAAAAAAAGTTCATCCTGAGTTTGTTCTTCCGCTAAGCCCCACAAGCAGCATCCCAGGGCAGCCCTGAACGGCAGGATGTTGGCAACAGGCAAGTGCTGGCATCAGGTCTCACCTCATTTAGTGGTCCTGTGCTCAGACACACGAAACACTATTTTTCTTGGATATTAAACAAAACACCCATCATTGCCTGGTTTGGGGAGAACTGTACAAATTGCATTTGTGTCCTATGTGCACAGGTTTCCCAGCACTGGCAAATCCCCCAGTCCATGGTCCATGTCAGCTCAGAGGGCGACTCATCCCCAGGACACGGGGACCCGTGGTGCTGCTGCACGATGTTGCTGAGCTCCCGGTGGCCAGTGCAGCTCCTCTCCTGACAAACCTGTTTCCCAGGCACTGCCCAGGCCACCGAGCATCTGCCAACGGCACTTGTGGTGAGAAACCATTAGGCAAGATCTAAATAGAGGAGGAAAAAAAGAAGGGAGGAAAATAAAAGGGGGAAAGAAACAGGTGGGGACTGTGGTGATGCCAGCTGGCGAGCGCCATGGTGAGAGAGGAGGAGGCGAACCGCAGAAGTTCAAGCAAATCTCTCCTTCTTCCAGCTTGCCCTCCAAGACACGCAGGGCCACGCTCGAAGCGCGTTTTCCTGCAAGAAGGGAGAGCTCCTGGCCCTTCCCAGATAGGCAGCACCGCAGTGGAGGGACACTCCTCCGGGTTTTCACCTGCTCCTTTGGGGCAGGTGAGTGCAGCCAAGGCCATGATGGGGAAACCCAGGGAAATCCTTTCCGCTGACTCAGACAGGAGGAAAAGGTTTTCCTGCTATTAAAAAGGAAAGTGTTGGTGAACATCCCCCCCCCCGGCCCCGGCTCAGGATCAAAAAGTCAGGAGCCAGCACTGCAATGCTGGCATCGAGGGTGCAAGGGGATGGATGAGTCGATGGGACCGACACAGTTGAACCCCACCTGCCTCCGGTGCATGGTGGGCAAGGGATGACTTTATTCTCTCCCAGTGCCCAGCACTGATGCCAGCACCCAAGTACAGGCATGCCTGAGGTCAGGGAGCAGCGTCGGTCGGCTTAAAACCTTTCCAATCCCACAAAGTGTGCCCAACCCAACCACGCGTTAAGCCCAAATGTTTATTTTTTGAAATTAAATACATCTGTGGGTTAGTTTTGGTGGCTCCTTCCCCTCTGCAATTCGGGACCGCAGCCCTCCCCTTCCCCATTCCCACCAGCACTGCAAATCCTTTCTCTCTTCCCAAAGCACAATCTCAGATGGCTTTTTGGTGGTTTTTAGTTTGCAGGAGGCCATTCAGGGTCCTCAGCGGCATTAGCTACATGGGTACGACTGTCTTCCCCTCAAGCTCTTAATTTCTGTCCCCAAAATCAACAGCTTCAGTCATGTCCAGCCACCCGAATCAACTTAACTTCAGCCTGCGGCAATGCAAGTCCAAAGGGCCTCCCAGCAGCGAGGGAGCTCAGCCGTTGGATGCCCCTGTTCTTGCCAAATCAGTTTACTAGTGATTCCCTTCGGCATTGCAGCTGAAAAATAGCATTAAAACCCAGCAGGCTCAGACGTCACCACCTCTCTACTGCATGATGAGGGCTTGCTGGTGGGGAAAGCTTGAGACTTGGAACCTCTCATTCAGTCAGACCATGGAGGTTTGGATTATGGTTTGCTTTTTTACACTGTTTCTGGTTATGGTGGCCATTTCAAAGCATTGCGGGTGCTTTGCAAACACAGACGCGCCAGTGCCGCTGGCAAGGTAGCGAGGAAGGAATAAGGAAGGTTGCAAAAGCAGCGATTCATGCTCCTGGGCACAGCCCAGGGAAGCCCCTGGAGCAACATCATTGTCCACCTTCAATCCCAATTGCTGCTTCAACTCCCGGAGTGCGATTGCAGCAGGCCGAGCTCAGCTCGCAGCACTGCCAGCAGCTGATCTGGAAGGATCAAGTTGCATGGACCCGTGCCAGGGCTGGGGCCAGCTTCCCAGGGATGTGAAGGTCACCTCATACCCGGGCTACTGTGGTGGGAGAAAAGGGGTCTGTTACCACCTGCTTGGGTTGTGAGGTTCAGAGATGGACATGCAGCATTTGAGGTGTACATGCCTGCCTTTGGGAAGGTGAGGGGCAGCAGGCGGGCGAGGATGTGAGCACCTGGCCACTGCTGAGCACAAGGGTGCAAGGGGAGAAAAGCAAGATGGCTTCAAGCACACAAAGCAGACAAGACTGGGAGAGAGAAATACTTGCTGGGAAAGGGACTCACTTTGACTAATCCTGAAAAAAATAAAGGCCAGAAATTGTTATTCCCAAGCGGAGGGAAGCAGAAACATTGCAAATCCGGTCTGAGCTGCAAAGCTGAGGTCAGGCAATAAGTGGCAATGAACAAGGTGCACGTTCTTTCTCTTGGGCATCACCCACAAGAAACCAGGCACCACCAAACCACCCTCACCCCGAACCTACGGGGCAGCCCCAACCCTGCAGTCCCGCTTGCCCCAATGTGACCAGTGGGGTGGGCAGGATGGGTGCTGAGGGCCCTGCCTCAGTGCCGCCCTTTATCCTCCCACAGTGCCTGGGGCCTCCCATGCCCATGCAGACACCGCTGGCACTGGGGCAGGCACTGTGCCGAGTGCCACCACCACCCACCACAACAAAGCTGCTTTGAGCAGGGCCAGCCAGGCATGCCCCCAGCCTCCTCCCCACCCCCTGCCCCCGGCGTCCCCCCATTTTGCCGTCCCTCTCGCAGGTCAGGGAGGAAGGCAGGACCACACCAGGACAGGGCGCAACCCCAGCGACCCCCCACCTCCTCCTCATCCTCCCGCCACCTCCATCTCCTTCATCCCCAGCTCCTTCATCTTCCCCATGGCCTCCCAGTGGGTCCCACCCCCCCCAAACCTCCCACCCCACCAGGACCAACCCTTCCCTGGAGTGGGAAAGGGGCAGCCCAGGCTCTCTGGTGAGGTTGAGCCCCACTGTCCCACCTCCCGCAATAAGTCACGTCACTCCGGTAGATCTCCCAGCCCTTTTATTCACTTGGCAGCCAGCAGCCATCACATCCATTCAGCGAGAAAACCATGGCCTGGGCAGCTGCAAAACCTCACGGCATTCCCCTTTACAGGGTGAGTGATGTGGTTGGGGCTGTTTAATCCTCCATGCTGTTTCCAGTCCCAAAATAACCCCTGGAGGCATAAACCTCCTTGCGGAGGGTCTTCTGAATCACAGCCTTCAGTTGAAAGATCCTCTCCATTACCTTGTCTGAGCAGTTAAGAAATCCCCTCCTGATCATACCCCCCCCCCCCAAAAAAAACCCCCAAAAATTAAAGCACAAAATTAATAGACCCCCCCTTTGCTATGCCCCCCCCCCCCCCCCAAGAAAGCCCCCAAACAGTTAGAGCAGAAATTCAATGCGCAGAAAATGCGAGCCAGGCGGGAGAAAAGAGTCCACGTGAAGGAGGCGAAGCCTTGCATCTTGCAGCTGGGGGGGCAGGTCCCAAGACTTGTTTCACCAGGCAGTATTTTCCTGTCCCTTCACTCCTGCCTTGCCTCCGCGAGAGCCCCGAGGCAGCTTCTGTCCGCCGGAGGCAGCACCTGGCCACAGCAAGCCAGGCAGCGACTGAATTTCAAAGAAAAGGCCAGCACCGCTGCAGCCTGCTGAGGGTCATGGCCTCCAGGCCCTGGGGTGAGCGGCAAAGCTGCTTCCCGGGAGATAATTCCAACTCCTCAGCAGGCAGAGCCAGAGCCACCCCTGAGGCTCGCCCCGCCTGGGGATCCCCGCTCCCTCCGGTGTGGAGTGCAGCCTGTGCCTCAGTTTCCCCATGGGGAAAGGGGCCCACAGGGAGTGGCACCAAAAGCGTGGGGGGCCCGAGGGTTAATGACATGGTCCCTCCCATCTGCCCCCCTCCCTGAACAACCCCCTTCGCTGCCAGCAGCCCTCCTCAGGGGTGGACAAGGAGCCCCCTGCTATGCCCTAGCGGGACCCAAGCCCCCCCGCCCCCCGCCCGCCTTCACCGGGTCTCCCAGCCGGGCTGGGGGCTGAGCTGCTGCCTGGGCCGGGCTTGGCGAGCTGCCGCAGGTCCCGCGCAGACCTGACGGCCCACTGGGCCAGCTCCCCCTTCCTCGCTGGGGGGCCCACGGCTCTCCAACCGCAGCAGCTCCTCAAGGTGGTAGGCAAAGGCCGAGACCTGGAGCAGGACAGCTGCCAGCGCCTGGCCCAGGGCAGCGTCAGCCTCACCCAGCTGCTCCCGCTGCTCCTCCAGCATCTGAGCCAGCAGGGCCCGGAAGGCCCGGTATGCTGCCAGGTTCTCCAGGAGCCGCTGGGTCCCCGTCTGTTCATCCCAGCGCTCTGCTGCTGCTGCCGGCACCCCCTCCACCGCCGCCACGCTGGCCGAGGCGTCCAAGCCCTGCCGCTCCACCTGCAGGGGCAAGAGCAGCCAGGGATCAGCGGTGGCAGGAGGAACGGGGGAACCCCCCTCACCCTAAGCCCCACCAGCACCGGCTCAAGGGGGGGCCCTGATTCAGCTTTGGCACTGGCCAGGAGGCATTTGGGGCAGTGCAAGACCAGGTGCTTGAGGTTTGCCCAAGCATCAGCCGGCAGCGCCAAGGCCCAGATACTAGCAGCATTTCATCCCCCATCTCCACCATGGGCCAGAGCCCTCATGCCCTGACACAGCTGCCAGGAGCCCCCCAGACCCCAGTAGCAGCAGCCACTCCACCAGCACTCCCAGCACCACAGGCAGCCAGAGGGAGCAGGGCAAACTCACGTAGGTGTCTAGGAGGTCGATGACGTCCGAGCGCATCTTTCCAGCCAGGCGGATGCCTCGGCTGCACAGGTCACGGCGCCGAAGGGCGGCTGAGGGGCTGTCTGCTGCTGCCGCCATGGCCCGAGCAACTGTCATGGGCACCAGACTCATGGCGCAGCGCCTGCCCGGCCCAGGGAGGACAATCCCTTGCTGAGCTGGTGCATTCCAGCCGGGAGCTCCGCTCACACATCCACTGGCCTGGCTCTCCCCCTCTTCCGTGCCTGGGGCCTGGCACAACACTGCAAATTCCCGCCTCTGGGATCAACAATGACAGATTATTTCCCTAATTCCCCCATGCTTCGCCACTCCAAGCGCCTTGCCCAGAACGGTCTCGCCCAGCGGCAACAGGCTCCCAGTACCAGATCTGACCCATTCCTCCCTCCCAGCCGTGCAGTGAGATTAGCAGCACGCTAATCCCCCCGGCTCATGCCAGAGCGCAGGAAACCGCTGCCGGGAAGAGGTGAGCAAAGCCCGGACATTACTCAACATCTCAGCCCAGGCAGAGGGCTGGGGCCTGAGTGGGGCAGAGCACTGGGGGTTCGCCAGCAATGGATTGAGAGGAGCCCCTGGGCTGGAGATCCAGCACCAGCTGCAGGCTGGGCTGCAACCCAAACTCTGACTGAAGGCTGCAGAGGCCTGTCCTAGCCACCTCCAGCCCTCTTATTCCCCCATGGCTGCGTGGGACTGGGTCCCCCAGGTTGAACCCCCCTTTCCCAGAGGGGTCCTGCCCCAAAGAGGGGCTGCAGACAAGGGAGGAGGTCCCAGCCACCCCAGGGCAACGCCGCCCCCCCGCCACAGGTGAGCTGCATGCACCAAGACAAAAACAGCCCTTTTAATTAGTTTGTTTTTTCCTCAGTACGTTTATTTTGGTTATGTATTACCCAGATTAAGAGAAAAAAAAACAGGAGTTGAAAAGCAGTTTCCCTTTAGTATCACAGTACACCGAGCCTTGCCCCAGCCTGGCTGGGGGACTGCCCCGGCCCCCCAGCCCGAGCTCCCAGGGCTGGTGGCCAACCCAACAGCATCGTTGCCACCTGGTGGCTACTGCAGAAAGCACTGCTGAGCTCCAGGAGCCCCCCAGCTCCAGCTGGCACAGCCCCCGGCCCAAACCCTGTGCCCCAGGGCCCCTGGATGGAGGCCCCTGCCCGCATGCTGCTGCCCACACCGGGCACAGCACCCACAAGCTCTCTGGGGCACTGAGAGCAGGTAAAGGGCCCTGTGCCCCCCTCTGTTCCCTCCCCAGGAGGAGAAAAAAAAAAATAAATACAGGGAAAAAATACAAAAAAGTTTATTGCAAACTACTACAATAATTTATTGAAGCAAACTGCATGCGAGTGAAGGAGAGACATCGAGGGGAGGAGGAGCTGCAGGAGGGCTGTGTCAGTTTTAGAGTTTCAAACAGGAGTGGGAAGGGAGCTACACCAGTCTCTCCTGCATCAGGGGTTAGCAGGCTGTGGTTAGAGGACAGACAGGCAACTGGCCGAGACCAGAAAAAGAAAAAAGGAGAGCTACGAGAGGTGTGCATGGAAGGACAAGGCGGGGAGCGGCAGGGGTCAGAGGTGTCTGGGCCAGGAAGCAAATGAGTTGCTCGATTCTGTGTCCCAGAAATGTGGCCAATGGCAAACTGCTCCACTCGGGGCGGTTGGGGCAGACACAGGACGAGGCAGCCTCCCTCGCCTCCCAGCCTGGTGCCAAGCGTTGCGTCACCAGAGGTGAGCAAGCACTTGACCCAAAAGCATTTTAGTGCCATCCCTCAGAAAACAAAACCCCAAGCTCTCCATTTAGTGTTCTGTGCAAGGCTCTGCCCGCTCCGCACCTCCCACGGGGCACAGGGGCAGGGCACGACAAGCAGCTCCAGCAGCATGGTCTGCAGCAAGCGTAGGGATGACACGGCTGACCCACACCACACGAGCGCATCTGCTACTGGTGGCCGGGATCCAGGCCAGGAGACATGCCACCACACAATGTGGCTCGGCCAGCCCCAAGTCTCCCCGGGCAGAAGACCCGCACTGCTGGGGGGGGTGTGTGTGTGAAATCATCAGAGTTGGGTTTGAACATGTCTCATTGTGCTGCTTCTCTTTAGTTTGCAAGGGGAGGGGACCGGCTGGCCACCCGAAAGCTTCCTGCTGGAAACCACAATAATTCGATCCAAGCAAGAAATTGGATCATCCCAACTGAAGAAACCAGTTTAGTTTAACACCGTACCACTGCGGACCTGACATGCACTGTCCCAGGACACCCGCTTTCAGGTACGCTGGGCCCTCATCCTTATCTCCAGGAGAGGCTCATGGCCAGACGCATCTCCTGCAGGCATGGGAGCCATGCTGCTGCCATGGTGCAAGAACATGGGATGCCTACACCCAGGGCATAAGACACCAGGGTTGCAAACTATTCAGCCACGAACCGCCCCAACACCAGAAGTGTTTCAACTTGCTCTGACAAAGATATCAGTGTAAGGGGGGAAGGGAGGGGGCAAATCAGGACAAATGGCCCAATAAAAGCTGTCAGGCTTGGGCTACAGCTGGATTTCCAGGCAGCACAAGGGACAGAGTGGGTGTTCAGAGGCAAGTTTCCTGTAAAAAGTTTCCAATTAAATTCCATGTTTTATTGCCATTCTCCAGACCCTAGGTACCCGATTTTGCCTAGCTGCTGTGTACTACAGACCAATTGAGCTGATCTTGTGCTCAGACAAGATACTTCAGCTCTGCTCCCAACCACATAAACCCAACCGAAAAAACAAGCAAACAAACAAAAAGTCCAGGTTATTCTTCACCTCTTCCAAAAACACTACGAATTCAAGGCCACTGAATCTCCACACAAAGTTTCAGATAAGAGCAAAAAGATCCAAGTCTCCATAGCAGACACATCATAGCCTATGTAAACTTTTCCAAGGGCTCAGAGCTGTCCTAACTACACTGGCAGGCAACACTTGAACCACCACGTTTCATGAAAAGCAGGCATGTTTGCGCAGAAGAGAGAAGCTTTGTGAACACAGCTGCACAAAACCCTCCCCCCAAAATGGGGGCAGCGAGAGAAGCTGACAGCCCTCTAGTCCCGTGTCAGTCTATTGCCTTGGATAAACAAGCCTGAGACAACCATATCCAGTCCCTGCTTCTGTATCTTTGTCTAGAACTGGAAAGGAGAGGTGGGGTTCAATGAGGAACACAACATCCCCCAGCAGCAAGCAGCTCACAACTGTCCTAAGTCACGAGAACAAGTTCCTGGCTAATGATGTTCTTCCCTGAAAGGCTAGGGAGCAAGGGGGAGGCAAAAAGAGCATTTAATGCAAGGAGCTCACCCCGACCTGGGAGGGAGGGAGGAAGGGAGACAACAGCCAGCTGTTCCATCACTCACCTCATCCTCCTGCTAAAACGCTGCTGCAGAGACTGCCACTGCAAACAAGGCTCTTCTCCAGGGGTTCTCTCCTCTACTCTGGAAAAGCTGCGAGAGACATCTGACTCCAGAACGCTGCCTTCACCTCGGCTCTCCCAGCTGCTGTTACAATGGCACGACGTGCTCCCTGCAGCTCGCTAGTGCGAAGGAGCCTACTGGGAAATAGCCTGAACCCCTTCCACCCCCACCCCCTAAGAACATAACTAAAAAATACCGACCCTTTTTTAATCAATAAATAAGGAATCTTGTTACCACAACACAAAAACGAAACATGTTCAAAGTGCAAATTACTGTCGTCAAACTGGGATGCTCCTCCTTGCCTCTCCCACGCAGGGCTCCTGTAGCCCCCGGGCCTCTCCAAGCAAACATGATCTATGAGCCAGGGCGTTCCCTCGACTTCCTGCCAGAGCTGGAGCAGAGGAGCACGGTGGGGAGAGGGACGTGCGCTGTTTCACAGCTCACCCTGCTGAGGGGGCCTAAAGTGCCAAGCCAAACTCCCAGCCCCAGGAGGAAGAGTGAGACTGCAAGGACCAGAGTGCAGCGATGCATAGAAGTTGGGACCAGGGGCGAGAGGGAGTCCTAAGAAACTTGTCCAGAGCACATCAAATGCTTTCTAGTTTGCAAGTGGGGCCACGTCAAGGAGCCAGAAAGGCATCTGCTTTGGGGTAGAGCGAAGGGTTTCAGCAGTCCCCCCTCCCTTGGAGAAATCTGTCGCTCAATCCAACTTGCTCTGCTAATGGCAGCATGTGCCCCTTTCTACAAAGGAGCAGTGGGAGGGAGAGAGAAGTGGTTGGGAGAAAAGAGGATGTGCTGTGATCCACGCTGGAGGGGAGCAGACCCTTCGGTTATTTACTAGTATTGTAAGTTTTGTTTAACTTTTCTCTCTTTCAGTAAGTGTCTCCTCTTTTTTTTTTTTTCTTTCCTTTTAAATACAGAGTCCAAACTGTCCCAGCACCCATGTGCTCCCCACCCACTAGGGTCCAGTGGAGTCTGAATCTTCAATGAGCACCTCCGTGGTGGCTCCCAGGATCTCTGTGTTCATGACCAGCCCCTCTGGGTTTGTACTGCTGCCGCTGCCCACAAAGAGCTTGCCGTCAGCCACCAGGCTCACGCGCTCTGCCCCACCGCAGTATGTCTTCGGCATCCCGTCAGGGTTCAGCAGCAGGCAATCTGCCGGGGCAGCACTTCCCAGGGGGTCGGGAAGAAGGGGGAGGCCCTGGCCATCAGTGGGTGGCGCAATGGCCTCAGGATTAGTGCCCAGGATGTCGGTGCTGGTGATCAGGGCACCCGCATTGGCAGCCAGTGCTTCAGCAATAAGCACTTCGGGGTGGCTCTTGGCTTTGTGGGCCACGACGCTGTCCTTCTTCTCAAATTTCTTGCCGCAAATGTTGCAGGAGAACTGGTAGAAGGAGTCCGCATCATGCTTCTTCATGTGCCAGTTGAGGGAAGCCTTCTGCCGGCAGGTGAATCCACAGATCTCACACCTGGGAGGGGAGAAGAGGGAGGTCACAACAAAGGGACATCCCCACACACTTATGGGGACAGCAGTAGTGAAGAGGCAGCCCAGAAAAACAGCAGGGGCTCACTAAAATGGGATGTCACCATAGCTCCAGCTTTTCCAGCTTTATTTGCAGAGGGCTTATGTCCCTCAGATCTCTACTGAGACACTGCCTCAAGGACCAGGTGAGACAAGCGGCAGCTCAAACACTCCTACACATGTGTGTTTAAAGGGAGCTGGGACACCAAGAACAGGTTCCAGCCCTGACTTCAGAGCTGCCCCTGCTCTCGGTGCAGTCCAAGAATGGGTGTATCCAAGGGTCCCTCAAAGTAGGAGAGCAAGAGACAGGCAGAGATACTCACTGCAAGGGCTTCTCGCCTGTATGGATCATTCGGTGCACCGCCAAGTTATGAGAACTCTTAAATGCCCGGGCACAGTACTCACAGATGTAATCCCTTTGATCTAAAAAGCAACAACAGTTGGAGCATTACTCTCCCGCAGACCTGCTCCCTTTCTCAGCTCTCACATGTTGCAGGTAAAGCTGCCCAAGAAGCAGCAGAACTAGAAGTGCTGGGACGCCAGCAGGCATAGCAAAGAAGGAGGTGTCCCACAACACACCACAGCAGCTGATCTGGAGAGTTAAGGCGTGATTAAGACTCTCCTAAGAGCTAATTATCCATTCTGACCAATACTGAAGGACTGGCAAATTAGGATAAAGCTTGGCTTGGTTTATTCCTCTACAGAACCCCTGAGTGATACTTACCAGGGAGTGAATTAAAAACTCTATAGCTTATTTCTTTCATTTCCTTAAAAGATGGTAATCCAGAAGGAAATGATACCCTGCTGCTGCTGCAAATCTATGCCACCTGCCTTGGCTTCACTCTCCCCAGAAGTCCTAGAGGCTTTTCCATTTTTTTCCCCTCTCTGTTCACTGACCTGAGGAGGAGTTTGTATCTATTTCCCACCTCCCTGTACCTGTGTGGTGTTTGGCATGCCGCAGGAGCTGCTTCTGGAGTCGGAAGAGCCGACCACAGGAGGGATGAGGACACACGTATTTTTTCTTCAGCAAGTGCTGGTACTTTATGTGATGCTATAAAGGAAGAGTGAAAGGTTCTAGACTCTCTCTTTACATGGCTAAGAGAACAGCTGAGACACATCGATCCCAGGAGGCCAGGCCACCAGACCTCAATCACTGACAAGACACCCTTATACCATGAACACAAAGGCTTTGATCTCCATTGAGAGAAGAAAGCCAAATGAATGTGGACATCTAGCAACAGGACAGATACAGAGACACACGTGGCCCACAACTAGCCACAATTGATTAAGTCTACCAAAAAGACAGCATTAAAAAGGAGTGCTTCAGTGCCAGTGGAGGATTAGCTGCCTGTTCCAAATGGCCCTTCTCTGCCCTCACACATACCATTCACGAAGTGAAAAATCTCAACCAACCTGCAGGTAACGCGGGTGAGCCAAGACTGTACCACAGCCTTCCATCTCGCAGCGGACATACTGTATTGGAGGCTTCTTCCTGAGAAGTCAGTAAGGAAACGGGCAGAGTGGTTAGGTGATGCATCTGAAGCCAGGGCAGCAGCAAGAGAAATGAGCGTGAGTGCAGCTCGGTGATGTGAGAGCAAAGGATTGCTGCTCCAATATTCTTGTTTGGGCTATGCTGATAGAGACTCTGTCCAAGAGTTCCCTCCACTCCTAGCGCTACTTGAGGGCTCTTCCCAGAGCTGAGAAAACCCCAGGAGACACAGAGTTCCCAGAACCTTATCACTGGGCAATGCCAGGCTAGGTATCAACTCAGAAGTGGGGGCGGGGTGGGCTAGTTCAATTGGAAGAAATCAAACCCACACCTACAGGGAGAAGGGGAAAGGAAAGGAGGGACGTCAAGGCATGCTGCTATTTTTTTTTTCCCCTTTAAGGCAGATTTCTATACCATACAAGAGAGATGACTTTGAGACAATCAACATCTCTGTGTAGGACACAAGGGAAGCAAGTCTTCAGAACAGAACTGAGTAGGGGGATCACTTACCTTCTCTTGGGCAGCCTTGGGCTCTTGTCATCCTTTCTCCTCCTTCCCCTCCTGTAACAGGGTTACAGAAACAGAATTGAAAGAAACTTCTTTACATTGGTAGTGGGCAGAGTTTTTGAAGTGTATGCTATAAAGCAGGAGCATGCTATAAGAAATACTACAGAACTCTTCCACGCTTTTAGGCTGAAAAGTAACACTGCACCCGGCACGTCAGCTGCTCTGGCAAGTCAGCCACCTGCTCTGGATCAAAACGCCTGAAGAGTTTCTAAGGAAATGCTCTTGTAATAGAAGGGCAGGTTCCCTAAAGAAGTTAAGTAACCAGGCCTCCATGCAAGTTGTCCCTGCATTTTGCAGAACTGCCACATCACACAGAAGACCGCTCCCTGTGGAGCTATGGTCCCCATGTTTCTGATACCTGAGCACCACTTTTTTCTGCATGACATTTGGTGGCATGTGGCAGACCTCAAATCACCCTGCCTTGCCAACATAGAACTGCCACATCACACAGAAGACCGCTCCCTGTGGAGCTATGGTCCCCATGTTTCTGATACCTGAGCACCACTTTTTTCTGCATGACATTTGGTGGCATGTGGCAGACCTCAAATCACCCTGCCTCTGCCAACATAGTCAGGCTGCAGGCTGCTACCTGCTAGGTCTAGCGAACAACACATTTTTGAACATGGTTGCTTAGCTCCAATGTGTCTCAGCCCACCATTCACAACTGTGCAGATACCAGTAAACAGGTATCAGACAGCCACAGCCCAACAGGCTGTGGTTAGAAATTACCAACTCTTCTGCCACAGTGGAGTGAGGAAGGGCTATTTTAAAAAACCCTCAACCAGGCATCACACACTTCACATTTTTTTCTTTTAAATCTGCAACTGTCCAAACAACTTGTGACCTTATAATTAAATTCATCCCTTTCCAGGCTGCACATCATCACATGAGATTCTGCTCTCATAAGTTTCTTCTGCAGACAATTAGCAAGCTATCGCCTCATTAACTGTAAGCTCTAGAAAAATCAATTGAGTGCAAGTTGGAGGCATATTCAGAGGAAGGCAACATTCCTGAGAAATAAATGCTTCATGTGGTTTGCTCTCACAACCCCTCCCATTTCCTAATGCATGTTTTATAAACATGTAATTTTGCCAACACAGTCCAGAATTGACGGTGCACCCTATTTCCTCCGCTCTGTTGGGTAATGTTTCATACCAAGTGAGAAACACCAATCTGCATGACTAGGAAGAACGGGATTAATGATCTAGCAGCTATTTTACAGTCCTCTGAATTAACTATAGCAGCTTATACACCTGTCAAGATGAAAATCTATGCTCCGTCTGAGCAGACCTATGCTTACATGTAAAACGCACCCTCCCAAGCAATAGCTCTGCCCAGAACATCGTGCCTGCTTGATCGTATTGCTGCAGACACACTTACAGTAGATTGATGGAAGTCTTTTCTAGACTGTACCGAGACATCTTTATTGTTAGCAAGACCATGCCAGTAACATGCTGAACAGGCACTCAGCATTCAAGCCAAGCCTTCAGAAGAGGCACAGGTTTTATTATGCACAAAAGTAGTGTCTGATCCGAACAACACAACCACAAGCCTCAGAAAGCCATCTCTAACGGAAGGAAAAAAAGTTCAAAATACCAGCATCCTTACTCCTCTCCAATGTAAATCAGCTCTGCAGCAGCTTAGAAACAGCAAGAAAAATTAAAACAAAGGTGTGCAGAGCCCCAGGCCGCAGACCAGCAGAGGGAGCCCCATTTGTTCCAATTGCTCATAGAGGAGCTAAAGTAAAAAAAACTTGCTTTTTTTTCCCCCCACACTATTCCAAAGAATAGCTTTGACACAGACACATAAGTCCAATTTACCTCAGTTGCCAGAAGGAAAGCTTCAGTGTTGAGTTCCAGTGACAGCATACCCAAAGGTTTTGGGTCTCCACTCAAAGCACTAGTGACTGACTAGGTAGCAAAAGTTTGTTCTTTTATTTCTCCAAAATGCAGGAGCACACAGCTGTTTTTCCTGAGCTCTGGTATGTTAGTCCCAAATGTACAAAGAGGACACTTACCACACGACACGTACAAAGTATTCCTGTGTCTAGGAACAGAAGGGACTTTGCCTTCTCAGACTGGCTTTCTAATACAGTCTAATTCACTTCAGACATCACAACAGAAACCAATTTTAAGAATGCTCTAAAGTATTTCACACTGTGTGGCCATATCCAGGTAGGCTGACTAAACCACAGTATGGAGAAAAATCCCTCAACTTAAACTAAATGAAAATATCAACTCTTTTATTTTTCCTTGCCAAACATGCGCAAGATACGAGGAAGCAGGACTTCTATCAGAACAAAAGGTTCTGCCCTATTATCTTTCAGGCCCAGAGGAGAAGGAGGGAAGCCAACAACAACAAAAAAACACTGTTGTACACTAGAAAGAATGCAAAATATACAATACACACTGCTACATATAACTGCAGAGTTTTACTCACTTCCTAGGTGGTTCTTCATCTTCCCGAAACTCACTCTCTTCTTTCACTTCTACTTTAATCTCTTTCTGTTTCTCTTTTTCCTCCTTCCCCTTGCTAGCTTTTCTCCTTTGCTTTGGCGCTTCCCTACAAAGATACAAATACAGCATATTACCCCAATACTCTTCCCGTTGTCTGCTTTTTACAAAGATTTGAGCAAAAACTGGATCGAAGTTCAGGTCTATTTACCAAGTCCCACTTCTAAGCAGAAATATGAACAAGGATTAAGGAAGAGCCTGACAGCCAGCAGGGCTCTAAAGGCTTTAGCCCGTTAGAGAAGAACAGTCCCGATAGCTGTAGGCAACATTTAGAAAACACTGTGTCCAATGGGAGCCAATTAGCAACTAGCACAGGTTCTTTGGGTTGTATTAAGCTCATTCAATTAAGATATCACTTTTTTTTTTTGGTCTAAAAACACAGTAAGTACATAATTCAATATACTTCTCTAGATGGGGCTTGTAGGTTTCATCTCTTGGATCATCTTTGAAGGGAACTTCTTCCTCACTGATGAGCATCTCCTCCTCATCATCACTGCTGGGATAAAAGGAGAACAGAGGACTTTAGCAGCAACAGCTTAAGCACTAATGCAAGAATATTCACGCATCATCCCCTAGGATGGGAAAGACGCTATTACACAGCACTTTCTCATCCAGCATGACTGGGGAAAGCTAACAGCTTGCACTGACTAAGGAGCATGATGACAGCCAAAACAGACAGGCTAGGCAGAGCAGTCTCCTCTTGTGAACCCACCTAACTACAGCATCCGCTCCTGAAGGAATAAAGCTACCAGGTGAAATGCCCAGATCAAATCTTACTACCCATTTCTCTACAATATCTCCTGACATCTGCAGTCCATCTGCAATCCAGTCTGAAAATGCAAAGGTCCAGGACTGAAAACAGAGCTATTATTCATCCCATAGATCCTTTCACAGAAGCATTTATTTTGAAAAAACACAGGCCCTTATTTTCCCTTCTTGAGACACTAAATAGGAAGAAATACCACAAAATAGTTTCCTACCTGATTCCAGCTGGAGACTGATGCTCTTCTGTGACCTCTGAAAGGAAAAGTCACCATTAGGTTTCAATCTGTGTTCGCTGCAGTGAGCTCATCTGTCTCAAGATACCTCCGTCGACATTCAGTGCCAGGAGTGCTGGTGGCAGAAGGTACTCATGACCAAGAAGCACCACGCCTGTACCAGCCACAGTCTGCATACAGCTCACAAAGCTACACCCACAGCCAGCTCCCTTCAAAGGTTCCCAAGACCTGACTATCTCCAGGCACTTTCATGCCAGGGCTTCCCACGTACCGTATTCAAGCTGGTCTGTGTTTGGCTCTGTCTTGCAGACGAGCTGCAGGGAACCAGTCTTGGATCTGGAGGCACGCGAATTCTCAGTGTCACGCTGGCGGGCCGCAGTGGCTGACCTGCTGCTGCGCCAGCTTCTGCTAGGCCTGGCTGTGCTGACAGGAGAGCCGTGGCTGAGGACACTGGAAACTTCCTCTTCTTCCTTCTCTTCTTTGGGATCTGAAACACCCATTGCAATCTCTTTAATAATAATAAAAAGCATAAATCCCATCATTAATTCACACTCCTCTCCGTTGCACAATGTTGAATAGCATAACTGCCCCTGTCTACTCTGAGGGGGAAACCACTACCTCTTAAAGATTTGGAGCATCTTGCACAATGCACAATGTTGAATAGCATAACTGCCCCTGTCTACTCTGAGGGGGAAACCCTTAAAGATTAAAGATTTGGAGCATAGCTCTGCCAAGCCAGACAGGACACACCCCAGGGCCTTCCCTCAGCAAGCCTTCATTTAAAACTCTCATCACATTTCCTACTGCCTCTAAGTAAAGACACAAATATTTAAAAACAGCTTACATTTCCCTCTGATAAAAGCTTATAAGATGATTATTTGCTGGCTCTGATCTCCCCTAAGCACTACAAGATAGACACTCATAAACCTCAGCAACTACTTTATGAAAGACTAGCTTCAAAATTGGACCACATTAAAAGTCGTGTTTGGAGAATCCCCCAAACACATATTTAATCAGAATTGTACACCTGGTAATAACCCTGAGGAATCTGAGCTGGATGTTTCTGGTCTTATGCTAAAGCAAAAAGCATCACAAGCACTGTAAGCCTGAGGTCTTTGCACTCATTTATAGCTTCTACAGGTGGTTTCTTTTTGGCTGATTGCTGATCTCCAGATATGTTTTGGCAAGATAACAGAATTGGTTAAAATTTCTGTGTGAGCAAGTTCATCCCTTAAAAACCAAAATTTCCAAGTACAGTTCACTTGATCTCACTTTTTGGTGCTTGCTGTGACACTGGGCCTTAACGAACTCAAATGCCTTTTGAAATTTCAGGAATGATGTGCTGAAGAAATTAATTCCAAGTAGCTGGCTATGCTCAGTACTCCAGGTTTGCCACTGCTTTAGTACACAAAGCCACCTGCAGTGCTCCACAGGGCCTGTGCTCTAGGCTATGCTCTGACGCACTCCTTTTTACCCAAATACATTTACACTGCCGTCTAGTTTCAGGTGGGTTTCTGCTGCCTAAGCATCAGCCAGCAGTACCACTGAGATGCCTGGGAGTTTATTAAGCATCTGCTGGCAAAGTCAGTGGACAGTCCTCTAAGGACCGGCTGGGGAGCAGCTCTGCTACACTGGGAGTCCCAGTGAAGAGCAAACTGCACATCAAGAGCCAGGAGCATGCCGTGGCAGCAAGGGAGGTCCACAGCATCCTGGGTGCCATTCACAGGAGCACAGTCAGGAAACAGAGGTACACTGTTAATCCCCTTTACTCAGCACTCGTTAGACCACATTTGGATTCACCCTCCAGTTTTGGACTCCCACTACAAGAAGGTTGTCAACATGTTTGAGCGAGTCCAGAGGGAACCACCAAGACAGTTGGGGACTGAAACACACAACCTGTGAGAAGAAGCTGAGAGAAACATGCTTGTTCAGCCTGGAGAACAGAAAACCCTGGGGGGACACAACAGCAGCCTTACAATGTACAGGCAGGTTATCAAGCAGCCCAAACCTCCTTGCTGAGGTGCACAGCAGGGAGGGGCAGTGGTCATCAACTGAAACAGGGAGGTCTGACTGGATACAGGAAAAGCATTTCTCCCCAGGAAGACAGTCAAGCACTGGAAGAGGGACCCAGCAAGGCTGTGCAGCCTCCACAGAAGCACAGAATGATTGTGTTTGTAAGGCATCTTTAAAGGTCATCTAGTCCAACCACTCTGCAATAAGCAGGGACATCTTCAACTAGATCAGGTTGCTCAGAGCCCCAGCCAACCTGACCTTGAATGTTTCCAGGGATGGGGCATCTA